CGAAATTAATTTTATAGCGAATTTTGCAAGTTATCGATGAAAATTGTAACATCGAAAATTTCATCAAAACTTCAAACATTGTTTTCCCAAAAACTAAAAGTTATTTGTTGAATAAGTAGATCCATTCTTTCTTTAACCAGTAATTAAATAAATTCGAAAAATTGTGTTACAACTGGTTTATTTTTAAGTTTGAGTTCAACATCTTGATACTATCCACAAAGAATATTTCCACACACATCTGCTAGCAGTTACTATATTTTATTGTATGTTGTTCCTCATATGTCCTTTTTACGATACCTCCGATGATGGTCATTTAAAAGACCGAAACATGTCAGGTTGAACTCAAACTTAAAAATAAACCAGTTGTAACACAATTTTTCGAATTTATTTAAAAGTTATTTATCAAAACGGGTTGTTGTATTAAAAAGAGGATACTTTAATTAATAATTGGTGATATTTCCACAAGGATCCTTTAAGAAATTAATTTTATAGCGAATTTTGCAAGTTATCGATGAAAATTGTAACATAGAAAATTTTATGAAAACTTCAAATATTGTTTTCTCAAAAACTAAAAGCTATCTTTCAAAACGGGTTGATTCATTGGAAAGAGGACACTTTTATGAACACTTTGGGATATTTTCGTACTCATATTTCAAGAACTGGATTTTATACGAATTTTTAAAACTTAATCGGTAAAAATTGAAAAATTCGAGAAAATTGCCCATCATTTCAAAAATTTATTTCTCAAGAACTAAAAGTGATTTTTGAAAACGGATTTTTGTATTAAAAAAACGATACTCTAATTCATAATTGATGATATTTTCACAAGGATCCTTCAAGAAATGAATTTTATAGCGAATTTTGAAAATTATCGATGAAAATTGCAACATCGAAAATTTTATCTAAACTTCAAATATTGGTTTCTCAGAAACTAAACGCTATCTTTCAAAACGGGTTGATTCATTGGAAAAAGGACACTTTTATTAACACTTTGGGAAATTCTCATACCCACATTCCAAGAACTGGATTTTATACGAATTTTTAAAACTTAATCGGCGAAAATTGAAAAATTCGAGAAAATTGTCGATCATTTCAAAAATTTATTTCTCAAGAACTGAAAGTGTTTTTTGAAAACGGGTTTTTGGATTAAAAAGAGGAAACTTTAATTCATAATTGGTGATATTTCCACAATGATCCTTCAAGAAATTAATTTTATAGCGAATTTTGCAAATGATCGATGAAAATTGCAACACCGAAAATTTTATCAAAATTTCAAATATTGTTTTCTCAAAAACTAAAAGTTATTTTTCAAAACGGATTCGTTCATTGGATAGAGGACACTTTTATTAACACTTTGGGAAATTTTCATACTCATATTCCAAGAACTGGATTTTATAGGAATTTTTAAAACTTAATAGGCGAAAATTGTAAAATTCGAAAAAATTGTCGATAATTTAGAAAATTTATTTCTCAAGAACTGAAAGTGATTTTTGAAAACGGGTTTTTGGATTAAAAAGAGTAAACTTTAATTCATAATTAGTGATATTTCCACAAGGATCCCTCAAGAAATTAGTTTTATAGCGAAATTTGCAAGTTATGGATGAAAATTGCAACATCGAAAATTTTATCAAAATTTCAAATATTGTTTTCTCAAAAACTAAAAGTTATTTTCCAAAACGGGTTCGTTCATTGGAAAGAGGACACTTTTATTGCCACTTTGGGAAATTTTCATACTCATATTCCAAGAACTTGATTTTTTACGAATTTTTAAAACTTCATCGGCGAAAATTGAAAAATTCGAAAAAATTGTCGATCATTTCAAAAATTTATTTCTCAAGAACTGAAAGTGATTTTTAAAAACGGCTTTTTGCATTATAAAGAGGATACTTTAATTAATAAGTAGTGATATTTCCACAAGAGTCCTTCAAGAAATTAATTTTATAGCGAATTTTGAAAATAATCGATGCAAATTGCAACATCGAAAATTTTATCAAAATTTCAAATATTGTTTTCTCAAAAACTAAAAGTTATTTTTCAAAACCGGTTCGTTCATTGGAAAGAGGACACTTTTATTAAACCTTTGGGAAATTTTCATATTCATATTCCAAGAACTGGATTTTATACGAATTTTTAAAACTTAATCGGCGAAAATTGAAAAATTCGAAAAAATTGTCGATCATTTCAAAAATGTATTTCTCAAGAACTAAAAGTGATTTTTGAAAACGGCGTTTTGTATTAAAAAGAGGATACTTTAATTCATAATTGGTGATATTTCCACAAGGATCCTTCAAATAATGAATTTTATAGCGAATTTTGAAGATAATCGATGAAAATTGCAACATCGAAAATTTTATAAAAACTTCAAATATTGTTTTCTCAAAAACTAAAAGTTATTTTTCAAAATGGGTTGGTCCATTGGAAAGAAGACACTTTTATTAACATTTTGGGAAATTTTTATAGTCACATTCCAAGAACTGGATTTTATAGAAATTTTAAAAACTTAATCGACGAAAATTGCAAAATTCGAAAACATTGTCTATCATTTAAAAAATTTATTTCTCAAGAACTGAAAGTGATTTTTCAAAACGGCTTTTTGCATTAAAAAGAGGATACTTTAATTAATAATCGAAAGTGATAACAGCGACAGTTCTGTTAGAATGAGGATGAATTACAAGCGAAGAGAAGAAAACTAGACGAAACTGCAACAAGAGATTTTATATATCGTATTGGTATTGTTACAATGAGGTTGCTAATGATAAATAAAGTTGTATTCAATTAAAATAGTCCTATTGGGATTGAACTAGGGCTTGCAATACCGGACTAAAATCTCAATGCCGGTATTCGGTATTCAAAATTTTTAATACCGGTATTGCTTTAAAAAGTTTACTCACTAAATTACAATCACTAGATATATCTAATTGTAAGATTTTTTTCCCCTCTGCGGCGTCACCTCTACTAACAACAGGTTAATTCCTACTATATTTTTAGATTGGCAACAAAGCATAAGATACAGAATCTGAGAAGATAATCAAAAAATGGAAAGATATTAGGAATCTGTACAAAGTACCAATAAACTTAAAGGTCTGGATACCATTATTGTTTTGTTGTCTTTCACTTGGTCCAAAGGTTCAACTTCACTGCCGCGTCAAAAAATGAAATTACACTTCATCATCTGAAGCTCTGTGGAATTCTTTCGAATTCCTGCTTTGGAATTTTCTGGAAAGGTGCAGATTCAAGAAAGAAACTTTAACATAATGGCTCTTGGTAGTTTGTCAGACTTATCATACTACTGTTATACTTGGTGGGACACTACACGAATCAAACTGACCTGAAACACCATTATGGAGTAAAAACTCCAAAAATAGTTGTATGCAGAGAGTATTTTATTGTTGGCTAGGTATGACAAATTTATTGAACACGAACATTAAGTTGTCGTCATCAAAGGTTGAGTCTTCGTTATCTTCAACATTCTGTCAGAGTGCAAAATGATATTTCTTGTAGATGGTATTCACACTGATCAAAAAATGTCACTTGAAAAAATGAGGTTAGTACGGACATAAGATAGATAACAAATTTCTGTTTGGTCAACATCATTTTCCAGCACAGCTTTAAACAAACACGGCCGTTTTCAATCGGTCGCCTTCGGCTAGCATTTTTTTAATGAAACGTCAAAAAATGTCACTTGAAAATGTAAACTTGAACGGACAGAAGATAGATAACAAACAAGAATCCTTTCACCGTCATTTTCCAGCACAACTTCAAACTAGCACGGCCGTTTTCGAAGACATCGGCCGTCCCCTGGCCATGGAAGGCGCTAATTAAAGATAATACCGAAATACCCGATATTGCAAGCTCTAGATTGAACTTTATTATTATCTGCAGTATCCAACACCTAAAAGAGATACTGATTCCTTTGAATGGTGGAGTGCTAAGTAATAGGTTTTTAATAGCCGGCCAAAGCCGGATAGTTGCCAGATATCCGTTCAACCACTAATCAGCACTATCACGAATGATTCTAGTTCTAGGTCTTGTCTTAGTTAGCAGTAATAGAACTAACACTAGACCGAGAACTAGAAACATTCGGGTTTAGTCGTCTTAAGAGACATGCGGCTAAACTCGAATGTTTCTAGTTCTAGGTCTTGTGTTAGTTATAATTTTAGTTGTTATTTAGCGTTAGATAGTTGTATATTTTTCATTGTACTAAAACTAGAACTAATATTAAACCCACAACTAGAAACATTCGGGTTAAGTCGTACGTCTAAAGTTTAAAATGCAACAGACTTTTGGCCATAACGGACACTCTCTTCTCCATATTAATCCGTTATATCGAGGTTTACCGTAATTTTCAACAACAAAGTTTTATAACCAAGTCTCATAGTGTTAATAAATAGACTCAATTATAATGTGTTTGATATCTTAGCAATCAAAACCTGGTTATGATTGGAAACATATAAGTTATGACCCCATTAAGAAAAGCTCTTTCGTTTCGTGACTCGATTTAATGACTTAATATATTTCTCGAAATTTTATAATAAAATATCGTTTTCTTTCATTACAAAACACGCAATCACCTTTAAAAAATTTTTCTTAATCCTAATTAACTTCTTAAGTTGTAACATTAATCATGTTTATATAATAAAATGATTTACATACAACGATAACGTAATCAAAACATAAAAAAGTACAAATAAAGGACATTGTTATGTTACTCGTGCAGATATACTTTCAAAATAGCTCTCGAGATATTAGTAACAGCTCTTGATTCAAAAAAAAAACCGTATTACGCAAGGAGTGAGAGTAAAAGTGAGATTTTTTTCTATCTCCAATTTAACGCCGGCGAGGAATTGTGTGCTTTTCGATAGCGAAACAATTTTAAGTTGTATAACGTTTTTGATATTATACATTTTACTTTCTAATTATAAACGCTAAGCAGGTGGCGTTTTTAAAGCACTAATTCAAAAGAAAAGCCTATTATGTAAAGATAAATTAAAGATCTTGTTTTACTTCATCCCATTTCTTTTATTACGCTCAAACAATTCATTTTCTAATTCATCTATAAATACGAACATATTTTTTAATATTGTGTCGATATCGTCACGATTTTTTAAAAATTCTACACGTCCAACCAAACAAGCTTGAATATTATTTCTAAACGTGACAGTGTTTAACATCATTCCTAAAATTATTTCGTGTTAATTTAATAATGAAGTTTGTCTTAATTATTTTTCTTACCTTGATTGAAGTGTAAAGAAGTGTAAGCAAAGACGCTTGTTATTTTCTTGTTTCCAATTGTTCCTCCATCAACTGCAGACATATTCGTGTTCATTATACAAACGTTTCTTAACATTAAATCGCAACCAAATTTGTTGATAAATGTTGGAAAAAATTGGCAAGTTACTTTTGGTATCAAATAAAAAAGCTAGAAAAGAAATTTGTATAAAAAAAGATTTCTTAAATTGTTATAAATAAAACAAAAATAAGTTTTTAAAATAGTTTGATTCGATCAAAAACGTGTACTGTAATAAATTAAAATAAATTAATTTAGCAATCGAATATTACCATTCGATTTCTCTTTCCTTACGTTATAAAAGACATCAAAACGATGACAAATAGTAATGGCATTTGGCAGGTATATATCTTAATTTGAGTAAGATGCATCGTCATGCAACATCATACATAATTTTGGTTTACAGATTAAACCAGTTGTACACCATCTTAGCACAGTAAACAAGGAAATATTCAATTGAGAACTTTAAATAATGTTGGAATTATTAGAGAACACGCATCATGTTGAATTATAATTCACCTTTATCTATTAGGGTGCAGTATAGTTTAACGTCATCACATTGAATTCCTTTCAAAGAAATACAATTTTATTGGGTCGTCTCGAGATACGTTTTAAACAGTGTGTGATGGCATGGATAAAATATCTCGCATATTTTGCCGTGGAGCTGGACTACTTGGTGAAAATCTTATTCGAAAGAATTTATTTTTTTTAATTTATTTACATTCTTGTGAAATTTTGGGGTATTCAAACCGGACATTTCAATGTTCTTACTTAACGAGATGTAAGATCTCGATTAAGATCGCAAGACTTCAGTTTAACATCCGCAAATACTAAGAGTTGCTCCTAGCTATTGGTATCGTAGTCACCTACATCTCGAATACATCTAATCTGATGTTTCATTTCAAATGTGCTTCATCTTGAGAATGAATTATTCATCAATTGTATTTAGCCTTTAAAATGAAATACGAAAAGTAGTGATAAATACAGTCTATATAGGTAAATGGATATAGAAGTGAGACGTATACAAAACGAATAGTTAAATGATTTCCTTTTTTGCTAATTCCTTTATTTGAACCCCTATCAAAATAAACGCAAACTACTTAAAGTATCACTTTGACTTTATAGTTTTTTCTCTTATTTGGTTTATTTATTTTTAGTTTCTCTTATTATATTACTTCATAATGATTATTACCAAATTACTAAATTTGAATGTTCGAAATATTCAAATTTAATACACTTAATAGCAGTAGGTATGGTTGTTACCTCAAAAATTAAAAGATATGGATGAGAATGATATTAGTAAAAATTGTTCCTAATATATCAAAAAGACATAATCTATAAACGATTTGTTTCCAACTATATCGCATTATTAATGATAAGGCATAACATTCCTAAATATTTAAATTACCCATTCTAGACAAAAATTGCATTAATGTCGAAAACTGAAAATGCAAGGAAAAAATGTTGAGGAAGAAAATTGTTTGCAATGATCTAGTACAACATTATTCCTAAACATTTCTACTATTAACTATGACTATTACCAACATAGCCGGTTAAAAGTGTGAAACATTTCAAGTTTAAAACATTCAACAACAATATGGATTTTATCTTAAAAATTATAAAGTGTGGTTGAGAATGATATTGGTAAAAATTGTTCATAATACATCACAAATATATAATCCATAAACGATTTGTTTCCAACTATACCACATTATTAATGATAAGCCATAAAATTCCTAAATATTTAAATTAGCGATTTTAGACAAAAATTGCATTAATCTCGAAAACTGAAAATGCAATTAAATATGTTGAGGAAAAAAATTGTTTGCGATGATCCAATACAACATTATTCCTAAACATTTCTACTATTAACTATGACTATTACCAACCTAACCGTTTTAAAGTGTGAAACATTTCAAGTTTAAAACATTCAACAACGATATGGATTTTATCTCTAAAATTAAAAATTGTGGTTGAGAACGATATTAGTAAAAATTGTTCATAATACATCAAAAAGACATAATCCATAAACGATTTGTTTCCAACTATGTCGCATTATTAATGATAAGCCATAAAATTCCTAAATATTTAAATTAGCGATTTTAGACAGAAATTGCATTAATCTCGAAAACTGAAAATGCAAGGAAAAAATGTTGAGGAAGAAAATTGTTTGCAATCTTCCAGTACAACATTATTCCTAAACACTTTTACTACTAACTTTAACTATTACAAACCTAGCCAGTTTAAAGTGTGAAACATTTCAAATTTAAAACATTCAACAACAATATGGTTTTTATCTCAAAAAATAAAAACTGTGGTTGAGAATGATATTAGGAAAAATTGTTCATAATACATCAAAAAGACATAATCCATAAAAGATTTGTTTCCAACAATACCACATGATTAATGATAAGCCATAAAATTCCTAAGTATTTAAATTAGCGATTTTAGACAAAAATTGTATTAATCTCGAAAACTGAAAATACAAGGAATAAATGTTGAGGAACAAAATTGTTTGCAATCAGCCAGTACAGCATTATTCGTAAGCACTTGTAATACTAACTATGACTATTACCAACCTAGCCGGTTTAAAGTGTGAAACATGTCAAATTTAAAACATTCAACAACAATATGGTTTATATCTTAAAAATTAAAAAGTGTGGTTGGGAATGATATCGGTAAAAATTGTTCATAATACATCACAAATATATAATCCATAAACGATTTGCCATAAAATAAAATAAGCCATAAAATTCCTATATATTTAAATTAGCGATTTTTGACAAAAATTGCATAAATCTCGAAAACTGAAAAGGCAAGGAAAAAATATAAACATAAGGAGTTTGAAGTCTCGTCTGTTCTGATCACTTTTGTTTTTTGTTCAAGTTTTTATTGTTTTTAACACCAAAGTTACAAGCTCTAAAATATAACGCAGCTTGTTCGGCAGTGACATCAGAAATTAAAGCAAGTCATAGATGTGACAATGTGTAAATCAAACAAAATGTTTATGTCGGGTATCCCTCATTCTTCGAGACATACTTCGAATCAGTTTTTCATTTTAAGAATCTGGTTCCACTCTTCTTCTAGCGCTATTCTCGTTTCCCTGGCATATCCCACAAGTGTTCTATGGGGTTTAAATTAGGGCTACGTGCAGGCCATTACATTCTGCTAATATCCAAATAATCCAGGTATTGGGACACTATGCAGGCTGTATGGGAGCGTCCATTATCGTGCATGAACAAGAAGTTGTCACCAATAAATGGGCAGAAGGAAACCACGTGTTAAGCCAAAATTTCTTCTATACCTATAATGAGCCGCATTTAGATTGCCTTTGATAAAACAAAGCTTCGTACGTGCTTCGAAGCAGATTCCTCCCCAAACCATTACATATCCTCCATGGTATTGTACTCTTTCAGAGAAGTTGCACTCTTCTGCTCTTCCTCAAACTCTCTCTCGACCATCTGGAGAGTACAAGCCGAACCTCGACTCGTCTGAGAACAGTATGTTTCGCCACTCCGCATTGGTCCACTGAATATGAATTCGTGCAAATTGTAATCGAGCAACACGATGTTCTCGAAGCAACTGTAGACCATTTGCTGGTTTCTGTGATCTCAACCCCGCTTCTTCAAATCTCCTTCTTACATTCATGTTCACTCGACGCACTTACTCCAGACGAGTTCTTATCTCAACTGCTGTGGTATGTCGATTTCGTAACACGGTCGTTACAATATATCGATCATCACGGGTTGTGTGGTGTGCCTTCTTCCTGACCCAGATCATCTAATGAAGGTGCCAGTCTGCCGAAATTTTTCAATGGCGCGACAAACCGTACTCTGTATCGCGCCAAAAACACGAGCAGCATAACGAGCGCTACAAAGTCACTGCCTGAGCAACTTCTGCAAGACTTAAAGGTATTTTTCTTGTCTAGCAATAGTCAATGACGTTAACGGCACTAAACGTCACTGAAATGTTTTCGTCAATTTCCATGGATTGCTTTAATTTCTAGTGGTGCTGCCGAAGAAGTTGCGTTATACTTTAAAGCTTGTAACTTTGGTGTTAACAACAATAAAAACTTGAACAAAAAACAGAAGTGACCAGAACAAACAAGACTACAAGCTCCTTATGTTTAAAGTTAATGTCTTTTGTCGGTGCACCCCACAGCAAGCTTCAAAGTGTAGGAAGAATAAACGCATTAGCGTCATTCAGCATTGCTGAAATTGGAGAGTGCCAAAATGGGGAAAGCACCTACAGAAATATTGGCAAAAGGTAGACTTTTCAAATAAATACAACCTTATTCAAATCGAGCAGTACGTTCAAAAGTTATTGCACTTTGAAACCTATCATCACTTTAAGTGATGCATTTTTTATGCCGCTGAGTGTATTTCAAATTTAAAACATTCAATAACAATATGGTTTTTATGTCAAAAATTAAAAAGTGTGATTGAGAGTGATATTAGTAAAAATTGTTCATAATATATCAAAAAGACAGAATCCATAAACTATTTATTTCCAGCTATATCGTATTATTAATGATAAGCCATAAAATTCCTAAACATTTAAATTAGCGATTGTAAACTAAAAGTGCATTAATCTCGAAAACTGAAAATGCAAGGAAAAAATGTTGAGGAAGAAAATTGTTTGCAATCATCCAGTACAACGTTTTTCCTAAACACTTGTACCACTAACATTAACTATTACCAACCTAGCCGGTTTAAAGTGTGAAACATTTCAAATGTAAAACATTCAATAACAATATGGTTTTTATCTTAAAAATTAAAAATTGTGGTTGAGAATGATATTGGTAAAAATTGTTCATAATCCATTAGAAATATATAATCCATAAACGATTATATTCCAACTAATTCGCATTTTTAGTAACCTCCACCGATAGATGATAAAATTAAATTTTAAATACGTAGTTATTTTAAAATACGGCAGACTTTTTAGTATCACCTTTAGTTATCCAATTTAATTGACATTTTATATGTATCTTAATATTTATGGTGGTTATAAAGGTTTATACAACATTTAATAAGTTTGTCGTAAATTAAATTACCAACAATATTTGATTGAAAGGTTATATCTAAATCGTAGATATTTTATTAATGTGCAAGTTTATATGAAAATGTTGGAATATATGTATGTTCAGGTGAAGTACTATATCCGGCTGAAAGATTTAATAACCCAAAAGTTGATACAGAAGCATACTAACTATAGGTGTTTTTGAGTTATCGTGTTTACTCATATATAGAGAATGCTAAAAATAGTCGAAATGAAATCAGGAGCCCTCAAAATGTGTTGATTCATCAGCACGATATAAATATATACAGAATGGAATAAACACAAAAAACAAGATTGATTAAAAAAAGATATATATGAAAAGAAATGATATAAAGCAATATAAGACAAGACAAAGAACGAAAAAAAGATGTTCTTTTTAGGATTAAACACGCATAACGGCACGCTGTGAAATCCCGATCAAATTGGCAGATTGACCCAATAAAAAATTCAAACTTGTCCGGCGATTTAACAAGCTAATGAGCTAGTCAACCGCGTCGAAGTCAGTGGTGTTCGAATCTTGACATTCTCTGTACATTCATGTAATAAGCAGAGTCCCATTGTGCGAATTCCACATTCTATGAACCTATTTTCTTCGTCTAAAAGTTCCTCATTCACGAAAACCCGATTTATGGCAGACTTAAATTAGGGCACAACGGGACATGCACTCTCAAATGACCTTAAATTTATGTTATGATTAAAACTACCCTTTCTCGTGAAAGTTATCTCATCCATAAACAAGTAGATGTAAATGAGCTGTGGATAATAACGATGAATTTGTTGTGATGTCTCGTAGCTATCACTCGAATGTCAGTATTTACATTATCTTGAGCAAAATGTACATTTATCAATCAACTATAACAGGTTAATGGTTAAAGGTTTTAAAGTGATCAAATTTATGAAATTATTAATTTTTATTTACATCACGTTCATGGTGACTTTTACCAACAACCTCCGTTTCATAATTCCCCTTATAAAGAAAGACATTTTAAGCTTTTAGGTGATGTAAAAATCGAAATGTAATTCTTAAAAATAAATTATAGATATAAATTTTTATCTAACCTCTTTTTATAAATAATTAATCTTTTTGTTTATCGCGAAACTTTTGATTTCATCATTACCTCACATATTATGTCATTAATTTTATCTCTCTAATTCAATCACTCACCAGGATATCAATGGATGACTTTGCGTTAATACATGATTTATTCACGCTCCTCAAATAATCAATCGCAGAAGTACGTTTCGTTGCGGTTGGTGCAACGAATTGAAGAAGAGCAAACTCGTTGCTAAGTTCGTTTGTATCAAAAGTACCATTTACAATGTTTACCATATCATCAGATCTTCCTCGGGTTGTTAAATGAATTACAACGTCTTTGCCACATTTCCCTAATTTCTAAAAAAAAATTTAATTTGATATCTATATCTTAATTTGATTATTATTATCTAATAATAATATATAAATATTTGAGTCATTTCAATTTCTTTACCTTCTCCAAAAAATCTGAAACGCTTTTAACCAACGCTGCTAATAAGACATCAGTAAACCCAACATCCAAACAATCCTTAATTTTTTTGATTTTCCTCACGTATTTAGCTTCGTGTTCCAAAAATGTCGAAATGAATTGATTTTCGCTTCCGTGGAATAAAAATTGTTCTATTCCGGGATTTAAAGGGTTTGTGTTTAAAAATAAATCATCCAAGCTAAAAGCTCGTTTCGGTTGTCTCAAATTGATTTCTTTTTGTTCCGTTTTAACCGGATCCAACAAATACTTTCTGTACAAAGCAATCATAAAATAAGCATCCGTTACTGAATGATTCACTCTAATCATAACAACTAATTCGTTCGGTTTATTTTCGGCGACCATTAAAGGTTGATCAAATACAACAATTTCCCATAATTTTCCATCCTTTATAATTTTGTATCCTTCTAAATACTCTAATAAATCGTTTCGTGTTATGGCGTTTTTCGAATTTAACGTTACGTTAGTTAAAATTTGTTCTGGTTCAATTTGATTTTTTAAAAAATACTTATAACCGAAAAAGCTTTTAATAACACTCGAAAACATATAATTGCATTTATGCAGATTCTCGGTAATAAGCTTTAATTTTTCAACGAACTCATCTTTATTTGTGTTTTCAATGGTAAAAACGGTAACGATCGTTGATTTTTCACGCTGAGCTTCAAATAAAGCACTAAAACCTTTTAAAAATCCTCCAAAATTTTTTCCATGTTTAATTAATAAGATAACGTGTAAAATACACCTTATTAAAATAAACGGCACCACTAGGATGTAAGTGGAGAGCAAAAGTAACGTTAAAAGTACTGTTAGATACCTTACTAGAATTTTTAACAAATCACTTCTAGCGATGTGATGTTGTATTGATTTAAAATTAAACGCCTCCTTAATAAGTACAAAAAAAAATAAAGAAGATAATTAAATTTAATTGCTTTAATTAAAATGAACTTACCTTGGCTAAACCGTAAAAACTTACAAATAACTTAAAGAGCAACATCTTTCTGATTAAAGATTTGTAACTCGAATGAAGAAACCACGTGAAATCATACGAGCAAATTAATTAAGAGTCATTGCTTATATGACCTATGAACTGAATAACGATATTTTTTATGTTGCAAAAAATGGATTTATCATAATTGAGTTATAAATATTTTTTTTTAAACTATTATTATATTATTTAGTCTATTAGAATTTAAGTTTATCAAAGTCTAATTTTTTTGAACATACTTTAATTATTTATGAAATCAAATGAAAGTAATAAATATTATTGTTGTTTCGTGCATATTTAATTTATTTTGGAAAAATTTATGTTTAATTAGTTATAAGTTGGTTATTAGGCGATATGAATCAGCACATTTCTTAGTGTTACTGATAATTTGCGAAAAATATAAAATAACTTTGGTTGAGTTCAAGGAGAAATTTATTGTGCAAGTGATTTTGAATTGTAGTATAAATAATACTAATTGTAAGAAAAAAATATAAATGGTTACAATGAGAAAATTAAATAATCAATTTTATTATTTTCGCAAGAATATGTTATAATTTTTATAACATATTCTTGCATATGTTTAATTTATGCATGGATTTTAGCCCAATATGAACTGTAACATAGTTTATAACGAAAAGATTTCACGTTTTACATAAATCAAGGTGTAACCCACGTATAAGAACAAACTCGTTGGAGAGCCAATTCGCCATATCGGTCAATTTATCGTTTGTCGATTGCCACCTATGCTTACACCTATGCATATAAGCCAGCCGGAAATAAACAAATTATTAGTTAAGTTTCTACTTTACGAAAACTCGGACACTTAAAGTTATCTGAACGTTTCGTTTTCTGTGTGTCGGCTATTCATCAACCTCACAGATATCTTGAAATTTTCGCTTTTCGAAAAATGTGCTTAATGATTATAGTTTAGATATGTTAGGGTTATTGATGCAATACAAATATCCAGATAAAACATTATCTATACGTAAACTAGTTACACAAAATCGAACCAATTCTGATCTTCAACCAAAGTGACACCTTCACACTTAATCCATACGCAGAGCTCTCACACCTGTCTCAACCTAAATCATGCAATTCAAACAGAACCCATCTAATCCACAACGAAACCAAACCTAACACATCCACATCCAAATCAAATCTCAGCGTATCCCAACATATCTACATCCAAACTATTCCCATGCCAAATTATGTAAACAAAGCGAATCAATCCAAGTCACAAAAAAAACCTACTTATCCAGACCAAACTGAAACCATCCTAGCCTAAGTTAGCCTATCCATACAGAAACCAGAGCCAACCTAAATCACGCAAACCTAATCGACAACGAAACCAAACCCAGCGTATCCACACCTAAACCAGCTCTCTCTATCCCAAGATATCTATATCCAAGCTATTTCCACGCCAAATCATGTAAACTAAACCAAATTAATAAAATCTACAACTAATCTATAGTTATCTTAAGATAGCTTAGCCACACAGATACTGGAGCCAATTTAAATCACGGAAACCATATAAAAGCTACGTAAGCTCTCACCTAAGACTATACCAACAAATCTACACCCAAACTATTCCCTGATCCATTCCACACCTAAGCTAGACCCAACTGAAATCATCCTAGCCAATCCGAGCTCAGTCACACTGATACCTGAGCCATCCCAAATCTTATAAACCGAACAAAATCTATCTAATGCAAAGCCAAACCAAATACAGCCAATCCATAATAAAAGCAAACCGTTAAGTTTTTTTTTACTTTCTGACCCAGGTAAAACGTATAAAGTGAATATATGTACGTATCTATTATCCCCTTGACATAAAATGACGTCTGGGAGACGTCATACATTTCATGTGTCATACATTTCATAAGTCATGACTCATGAGTCATGATGGACATATGTATGTAGCATTTTATTTGTATGTCAAGGAGTTAATAACTATTCTCTAATTTAATAAATTATCCTGACAACCACGAAATCATTTTTTAAGCGGTCTCCGGAAATTAGATCCCACTGATTAAATTTTACATTATTTTGAATGAAAATATAATTACATACTGTTATGATTTATGCAGCGTGTCCCGTATCTTCCACATCAGAGCATTATACGGTTGTAGGATACATTATTCTGAAGCGATCTTTCTAATAAAATTTTTTCGAAATGTTTGGGCCAGCCTCGGTCGGTCCGCTACGCCGATGATAACTCGTTTCCCACGTGTACTCACCAATAGATTCGACACGGAAAGAGAAATAAACTTTTTCTGTGAATCAAAGTTGTCCACTATTGGACGTCGTTAAACAGTTCCCGTGCGGTTATTATAAACATTTCAAAACAAATTTATTAGAAAAATCGCTGCAGCATAGTGTATCCTACAACCGTATAATGCTCTGATGCGGAAGATACGGGACAGCTTGTATACAGGATGTCTCACGTAACTGGTTCGTTAGAACTTTTTCAGGTTCCACTATTTGAAAATTGAAATTTTGGTAACATGGGTTGTTCATTCAGATCTTTCGGTCTAAAATATTTTCAATATGGCTACCACTTCCGGTCTACCGGAAGTAGACCATAAATTCGCTATTTTAAATGAAATGCTATAGTTTTTATTACACCATTGATAAAAGTTATTGGTACCTAGCGTTTTTCGTTTTCGAGTTATTTTGGTTTTAAGCTTTCTTTGGTAAATTTCGGTAAATTTTGGTAAAGGTCTAAATTGGCACGATTACTCTTCAGATGCTGTCAAATAGATTGTTATTTGTTGTATCGGAGTATCTTATACAGAGTGGTCAAAAATAGAATTACTGTTTCCCTATTTCCAATGGCGACAAAGTAGAAAATTTTAAATGGAACCCCCATATTTTTTAGCCTATCATAAAGGGAATTTATTTAATTCACTATAAATTATCTATAAACAATCCTATACCTATTTATTGTACTTTGCCTCATATTGGGAAACACGCTGTATTATGTGCGAAACAACAGAGTATAACATAAAGAGTAAAACCGATTTTTTTATTGCGGAATCTTGTAGTTTAAGGTTTGCATAATATTTTTGTAAAATTTCAATTTCAAATTAATTAAATTGTAGAAGTTATAAATGTAGAATTAACAAGGCGTATACACGCATAATATTGTACCTACATGAAACTATAAGTGCGTTTATCTTGAAACATTCTTTTTACATCTGGTTGACACAATTTCTAAAAAAACTACTCATTCGATTGACTTCAAATTTGAACTGCACCTTCAAATAGCATCTTTCTATCGTATGACCTACAGAGAAACTGATAGAATATATGCACGTTTCTTTTTTTGCAAGAAACTTACCGATTTCAAGAAAAAAAACGATTATCTTAATTTGACTAGGCGCTATTTTGCCAATAATGTTTTCTTTGGTTAATTCTAGTTCAAACGATAATCACAAGCATACAGAAAAAAACACCATTTGATTTTTCAGTTTCAGATCATCTCAAGAGTAGATATCGTATCGTATGGCACTTAGACGATCGACGCAACAACTTAGTTGAGAGAAAATGCAAGCATTATTTTCTATAAACAATTCTTTTTTAAATAAGTAAATATATCATAAAAACGTATGCAAAAGATTAAATTGAAATACTATGTAATTTGGCAGCCAAAAATTCCCAAAGAAATCAAAAGTGTTATTAGGTGGCAATGAAAGCAAATCCTTTTACACCTAAACCAGACTAAATACAAACTACTTAAGTCAATACGAACACAATTAAACCCATACCATAGATAGTTCCGTGACCATAGAAAACATGATTCATCCACCGAGATCTAAGTATTATGATACTTATTGACATGACAATGAATTTTAGCATTGAGTGTTTGTGTGTATATTTCTACATATGTATATGTAAACATAACATATCAAAAGCAGAATTAACTACATTGATAGATTTTACTATGTGATTACTAAACCATAACCAGATCAGTAATATTGAGTAAAACACTGGGCAAACAATCATAACTTAAGATCTATCGCACTATTATAAGACTATCGTTGAAAATCATGGTCTATATCATTAGAGAATAAAAACAAATGGAGCTGGAATGTGAACAATAAGTCTGAACCAGCTCATAAATGGTGCAGACATAGTAGAACACAGAAAAGCATAAAAAGCAGTATGGTTGGAAAATTTTGCAAGAATGGAAAGCGACAAGGGAGTGAAGAGAAGTATAGAATGAACACCACAGGGACAGAGAGGTAGAGGAAGACCAAAGAAACGATGGAAGAATGATGTGATGGAGGACGTTTGGACGCTTGCTGTACAAAACTGGAAGCGTGCGGCGTCTGACAGATCATAATAACAACGAACTGTAAAGTAAGCCAAAGTTTACAGAGGATTGTAGTGCTGCAAGAAGAAGAAGAAGCAAAACATTTTAATTATCGTTATTTTTGTTAATCATCTTAAATATAATAGTTCTTCAAGTAAACGATTCATCCATTTATGAATAACATTTTCCAATGTTAGTGCTAAATTCTACAACAGCAATGCCAGTTTCCAAATTAGGTCTTGAAGGCCAAAAAAAAAAAAAAAATTTTGTCTGTAATCAATACGTGCTTTTAAATTTAAAATATAGGAATTCAACTTGATTGATTTGAGGTTTTGCACGAAACTTTATAATAAGGTATAAATAAATGTATTATTCATTGATTTCAAGAAGACCTTTAATAGCATTAGCAGGAATAAACTTGAGGGCAAGATGTAACTGATGAGAATACCCGGCAAACTTGTGAGAATGGTGAGGGCTACAATGGACAACTCGGCTGAAAAAAATACTGATTACAGGATGCCAAATCCGAATTGTTCAAAATAAAATTTAAAGTGTAATAAAGAGATGCGTTGTATTAAATTAATATTCACTGTACTCGGCGATTTGTAACTTTGACAAAGGAATGAGTTTACTAACCAAATCGCATATTGTGTGTGGATACGACAATTATGAGTCATATGAGGAAGGATGTGAGTGAAGCACGAAACAAAGATAAA